TTTTTTTTCTGAGCTACCTCTGTTTTTCACAGTATCTCCATCAGAGCAAAGTGTCTCACAATTTGTTTTAGAACCAGTCTTCAGAGGACAAAAACGTTAGAGACCTTGGAAGGAAAATGCGACTATCTTGTAAATTATAACACCCACTATTTCTTAGTTTACTATACAGTATCATGCTGCTAATGAATGTGCATAGATTTATGTAAGCAAATGTTAGACATTAAAAAACATTTGGATCGGAAAAATGTCTCAGTGATAGGCAAACATCGTCTTTCATTATCTCTCTCTTTCACTCACATACTACTTGCTAAAAAATCTGTTGATTGATGGATAGACCTTAAATTACTCCAGGTTGTTCAACTCGAACAGTTTTGTCAGGTTCACATTCATCTTTCAAAGTATCAGCTAAGTCACAGAAAGTGTAAACAGTTTCTCCCTGTAGTCAAAAGCCTGTATCTCTCTTGGTAGTACTCAGTAGATGAGCTCACAAATCTCCTCCTTTTAAGTTTTAAAGAACACAAGTTTAATAACCTTGTTTAAATCTTCAGTGAACCAGGCTACTAAAGGCACATAGAAGGCGACCCATTTTCCTCACTGCTAGTAAATAGATGAACCGAATGGGCACCCAGAAAGAAGCTTATTACACTAATCCAGCCTGAGACTCTGGGCACTTTATGTGATGTTGAATTAATTTAAACCAAATATCCTAAGGAATGGGATTCAAGCTCTGAAATTATATGCAAGGAAGGGGGAATGTCTCTATGTGTCGCTAAACTGCAATATCCACACCCACATCCCAGGATGTGTCTTCTTGGCCTTGCCCCTTCGTGCCTTTATGCCTGTTTCTTCCTGATAACACATCCTTGCCCACCTCGTAAGCCATATGTGCGTGGAGTGCTGTTTTGTGTCATGACTGTTCATCAACAATTCACAGTAGCTTGACTTCTAGCACAAAGGACCCATTCTGACCCAGAAAACTCCATCGTAAAAGGAAAGGATTCACCCCATCATATTTAAATTCCAAAAGCTCCCCTTGCCACTCTGAACTTTTTCAGTACAGAACAGTTCACCTGAAATTCTTTCCTAATGAGGGAGGGATGTAGCAATCTTTACAAAGCCTCTCACTAAAATGTGTTTTAATAAGGCTCATGGTACAGGAAACAGATACACCTTTTTTTTTT